AAACCTTTCTGAAGCCCACTTCCTCCAGCAAACTTTAGGTCTTTTTCAAGGCAAAGTGTCATATTTACTGCATGTTTGCTGGTGCAGTAGGGGCTGTAGAAGGCAGAGGAAGGCTGTCTGAACTCTATCTCCATTCCCCTCACATCTGAAACTGCATCCTTCCAAGCCATTCTCTTGCCCATGGCCATTGACTTTGCCGGCCTGTGCCCAGTGGGAACCAAGGTGCAGGCTGAACAGCAGCCCAAGGTCACAGATACTTTTTTATTGTAGTATTTAAACTTTTCTATTTTTAATAAGTTCTTTTTTTTTAATGTTTCACTGATGAAGTTTTTGAATGTTTTATTCCTTATCACATTTCCCCCATAAGTCCTGTGGTTTTTATTGCATGATTTTGCATATCATGGTGATTTTTAAAAAATGTATATCACATTATAGCAGAACTGGATGCATATTTGATCCCATTTTCTCCAGCAGATTGCATCCCTTCTCTTCCTATAATCGTCAACTTCTCCCTTTTTATTGGTTTCTTTCCCTACTGCCTTCAAATTCTCCCAAGGCTCCTCCACCCATAAAAACTTTCATTTAGACCCTACCATCTCCTCCAGCTATTATCCTTTATTTCTCCTCCCTTTCTAAGCCAAACTCCTTGGAGAATTTGTCTATACTTGATTCTTTTGCCTCAGGTTTCTTCCCACTCCTATCCATCCTCCATTCAGCCACCAAAGTGATTTTCCTAAAACTCAGGTCTTACCAAGTCACACCCCCTACTCAATAAACTCCAGTGATTCCCTATTACCTTCAGCATCAAATACAAAATCCTCTGCTTTGTCAAAACCCAGCCCTCTCCTACCTTTCGAGTCTTCTTATACCTTACTCTACACCACATATTCTTCAATCCAATGCCACTGGGCTCCTTGCTGTTATATGAACAAGATACTCCATCTCTTTGCTCTGGGTGTTTTTTCTGGCTATCCCCTCATGCCTGATATCCATTGCTCTGCCTACTTACTGGCTTCCCTAGCTTCAAGTCTCAGCTAAAATCTCTTCTTCTAGAACAGTGCTTCTTTTTTTTTTTTTGGAGATATCCTTTTTATATGCATCTGGTCATTCTAATGGTACCTGTTCAAACTGAACTTTTCCTGTACGGATCAAGAGACAATGTGGCAGGAAGCCCTGTGTTCAAATCCTACATATGATATACTAGCCATCTGACCTCAGGCCTTCCCTCGGTTTTCATTTGCTCATCTGTAAAATGAGGACAATTAGACCAAACAGATGGCCTCGGAGGTCCCTTCCAGCTCTCTATGTGTGTGTGCCCATGGGCAAGTCACTGAACTTCCTCTGGCCTGAATTTCTTCTCCCATGAATGAGGGACTTGGATTAGAAGACCCTAATATTCTTTTTTTTAAAATTTTTTTCCTTTTTTTGTGAGGCAATCAGGGTTAAGTGACTTGCCTAGGGTCACACAGCTAATAAGTATCAAGTGTCTGAAGTCAGATTTTAACTCAGGTCCTCCTGACTCCAAGGCCAGAGATCAGACCTTAATATTCTTTATTTTTTTTATTTTTTATTTTTATTTTTTTAATTTTTTTCCCCATATGCTTTTGATTTGAAAATTTTTCTCCCTTTTTCTCCCCCCCCAAGACTGCGTACAATCTGACATAGGCTTTACATTTACATACCCATTAAACATATTTTCACATTAGTGAAGTTGTAAGTAAAAATTAAAACCAATAGGAGGAACCATCAGAAAGATGAAACAAAACTCAACAGAAGGTAAATATAAGTGATAGCGATTCAACTTCCATAGTCCTTTCTTTGGATGTGGACAGCATTTTCTTTCCCGAGGCCTCTGGAGATGTCTTACATCCCTGTAATGTTGAGAAGGGTTCAGTTTAACATTCTTAGTCATTGCATAACGTGGCTGCTATTGTGTACAAAGTCCTCTTGGTTCTGCTCACTTCACTCAGCATCAGACCATATAAGTCTTCCCAGGTTGAACAGTACTTCTTAAAGTGTGGGTCATAGGGGCAGGTAGGTGGTGCAGCAGATAGAGCATCGGCCCTGAAGTCAGGAGGACCTGAGTTCAAATCCAGCCTCAGACCAAACACTTGACACTAGCTGTGTGACCCTGGGCAAGTCGCTTAACCCCAATTTGCCTATAAATAAATAAACTGTGGATAACCCCATCTGGGTTGTGAAACTTTTGGCAACAGTAAAAGGTTTCTGAATGCACAATAACCAAAAATTAATTCAAAATCAATGAATCTCAGGTGTTTCTGGCAGTGCTTGCCCATGTTGCATTGTGTAGCTTCACTGAAGCCTTGGTTCTGAACACAGTGCATGTGCACTTTGTACTGCATGCCCTCAGTGAACCCTGCCGCCAAAACCAAAAAGTGGGCTGGAGTGGAAAAAGTTTAAGAAGCCCTGTTCTAGAGAAAGCCTTTCCCAATCCCTCTTAATTCTAGTGCCTTCTCTCTGTTCACTATTTCCTAGTTATCCTATATATAGTTTGCTCGTACATAATTTATTTGCTGTCTCCCCTGTTAGACTGGGAGCTCCTGAGGTCAGAGACCAACTTGTGCCTTTCAATGTATTCCCAGTGCACATAGTAGGCACTCAAGAAATCCTTGTTTGACTTTCTCTCTTCAGTGCTTTGCAAACTGCTTCTGATCTCTTCACTCAACTGAAAATACTATCTACAAAGTTACCAGTGATCTCCTAATTGCCAAATCTGACAGTCTTCTCTCAGTCCTTATCCTCCTTTACCAAGGCAGCTAGGTGGCATGGTAGATAGAGTGCTAGGCCTAGAGTCTTGAAGATTTTTTTTTATTGATTGATAATTGGCTAGAGTTCAGATCTAGCCTCAGCCATTTAGTAGCTCTGTGACCCTGGACAAGTAATTTAACCTCTGTCCACCTCCCCCATCTGTAAAATGGGGATAATTACAGCATGCACTTCAAGGGGCTGTTTGTGAGGATCACATGAAATAACATGTTTACACATGCTATCTACAAAATGGCTCTGCAAACCTTAAAATACTGTATAAATGCTAGCTCTTGTTATCAGTCACACTGTCTCAAATTTCTCACCGATTAAGTCCATACTACACACAACTACCAAAGTTCTTCCTTAAGCACAGATCTGACCATGTGACTCTCTTATTCAACACCAGTGATTTCCCATTGGCTCTAGGATCAAACATCATTATTTCGCTTTTAAAGCTCTGCACAACCAGGCTTCAACCTATATATATTTTCAGCACCGTTGCCCGTTACTTCCTCCCCCTCCCCCATGGTGATTCAGCCATACTAGTCTTCTGTTCCTCACATACAACATTCCTACTTCTAGATGTTTGCACTGGCCCTGCTACATGCCTAGAATGAATTCTTTCCTTCCTTCCCTGCCTCATAGATGCAGGCACTCTCTTCCTGAAGTCTTTCATTTCATGATCCCCTGAAATGCTAATTCGCTGCCTCCTGGAACCTCTTATTTTGATACTTTGTATTTATAGTCAATCACCTTGTATTTATGTTGTATCTACTTATACATGTAATTGTTAACCTCCGTTCCTTCCAAGTAGGAAGGGTTTCATTCTTTGTATTTGTACCTCAAGCACCAGGTATGGTAATGTTTGTGGTTTATTGCTACAGTCTCAGTCTCACATAACTGACTTCAATTACATTCCATACACAACACTCCCAGCTCAACTTTGGCCCGCCTCATCTCCTCAGTAGCTTCACTTACCTATTCCTTTACTCCTCCTCCTTTTGTTTTACCTTCACTTATTAGAATGTAAGTTCACCAGAGCTGAACCGTGGAGAATACTTCCTTGTATTTGTATCCCTGGAGGTAGTTAGCTGGCTCAGTAGATAAGAGTGCTGGGCTGAGAGTCTGGAAGACCTAAGCTCAAATCCAGTCTCACACCCTAGGCAAATCGCTTAACCTCTGCTTGCCTTAATCTGCTAGAGAAGAAAATGGCAAACTGCTCCGGTACCTTTGCCAAGAAAACCCCAATAGGGTCATGAAGAATCAGACAAGACTGAACAACTAAACAACAACAACTTGTATCCCCAACCCTTAGCACAGTGCTTCGAATATAGTACTTAATGATCTCTCCTCTCTCTGTCTTGTCTCTGTCTCTATCACCCTCTCTCTCCCCCCCATCCCTGTTTCTGTCTGTCTCTCTCCTCTCTCTCTTTCTCTTTTTTCTTTCTCTGTTTCTCTCCTTCTCTTCATGTCTCTCTGGACCCATTTTCAATCTGTACAGTGAAGTAGCTGGATAACCTATTGTAAGGTCTTTCTCTCCAGTTCTGATATTCTGCAGTTTTCTATAGATAAAAGTTGTGCAAGCACATTTCAAAATCAGGTGCCATATATTTGAAAAAAAAAGTTGAGTACTTGGGTGGAAAAGGAGCAAATTAGAATATTATAATGAAGAAGACAAAATATTGCATGAAATTTAAAAGCCATTACAAGGAATCAGGGATAGATTCTTAGGCACTGCCTCAATGAGTTTCCTATGAAGTTCTAGAATAAAAGGTAGTACTTTCAGTGTTGGTGATCTGGACTGACTGCCTGGGAGAGGGTGATGTATAAATGGCTTCACTTTTCTTCAAAGCGCTAGCCCTAATATTCTAGAGATTCTGCAAGCCCAGCGTTCGCTCCGTAAATGTTTTCTGTGTGTGATCCCTTGAAGGGTGCAGCTGTCAGCACATGGCAGCTAGGACATAAACCCGGGATTTGAATTAAGCACAATAGCAAGCAAGCACTCAGCAAATACTTGCCAACTGATATTTTTATCAGTTCATTTGAGGTTCAGATCAGAAAATACTTTGATATTCCAGTTCAGAAAATGTAAAGGTTCAGACCGGCTCATCTGAGAGAAGATGAGAATTTCAGTCAGCCTACTAAATTAGTGGTTTGTTCCACTGTGCAATTCACGTTTTATTGGTTTGGTTCACTTTCTTTCCACATTTAAATGTCCTTCAAAGGGTTCCAACTCATTTTTAAATCATCACATTCTAGAGCAGGGGTCAGCAAACTATGGCTTGAGAGCTAAGTCCAGTCCCTGAAGAGTGTTTTTGTATCTCCCAGAACCAAGAAGGGTGTTCATATTTTTTTAAATGTAAAATATTTAAATGTAAACCTTATTTAAAAATGTGAAAACCCTTCTTAGCTCACAGACCACACACCTAAGTATGGCAAGCCCATAGTTAGCTGTTCCCTCCTCGAAAGATAGAATGTTGATCTACCGGCTTTTATGTTATACTGGTAGAACATATGTTATATAGCATGGGTCATTCATTATATTGACAGTAAAACACCTGAAGATGTTAATATACTATGACAGAACTCGATGTCCATTAAGAATAATACACTGTCTACTCTCTGGAATAATTTCCCTGTCCTCTGCACTGATGAGAGTGTGTTTAGCAATGGATGTCACATTTTAGGAAGCACATTGACAGAGGAGGGTGATCAGGACGTTGAGAGGACTAAAGGTCATGCTGTAGGAGGATTGATTAAAGGAGCTGGATATATTTACTTTGGAGAAGATAGACTTGGGTAGGAGATAGGATAGCTGACTTGAAGTATTTAAGAGTTTGATTTATGAAACGATAATAACTCACATACACAAGCATTTGAAGGTTTACAAAGTGTTTTCTCTTTTCAGTGATAGCTGGTAGTATAGGCATTATTCCAATTTTATGGATGAGGACCAATTCTCAGACAGAGGAGCTTTCTCAAAGATTCCGAAGACTAATGACAGAGTTTCAAGGAAGAGATTGGGTGATTTGCCTCTGGTCATACAGCTAGTAAGTATCCTAGTGAAGGCTTAGACTCAGGTCTTTCCGGTGCTCTTTCCACTATAGCATGACGCTAGAGGGCAGTAGAAAGATTTTTTTTTTTTTGTGGACATCAGGAAAAACCTCCTAATAATAATGATTTAAAAGTGGAATGGGCCACCCAGGCAGATACTGAGCTCCCCATCCCTGATAGTCTTCAGGTAAACCACTTCTTGGAAGACTGTATAAGAGATTCTTGTTTAGGTACATATGGGACTATATTACCTCCAAGGGAGTTCCTTTAGACTATGAGATTTTGTGTAAAACACACAAATATCCTGCAGTTTCTCTAAATGGTCTAATGACTTCATCAGCAATCTCTAGCAATTCTAGTTCGTGTCCTGGGGTGCCTATTTTTCTCTTCCTTCTCTTCTTCATCCAGGTTTCTGCCTAGAGTTTTTCTTGGTGCTCTTGTTGGACGCCATTAGGTCCATCCTGACTCCGGTCTTGGTTCTGGCTGCTAGGTTTACCTACTAGAGAAGCCATATTTAAGCTGCCCACTTCAGGAGGTTGGGAATGTGAAAAAGACAGAGAAGACTTGGGGCTTCCAAGTAGTTCTTCGGACTTCTGTTCTTCAGTCACTTTAAGATTTTCGTTTGACTTTGCCAAACCTGTTATTGAAAAACTGAGAGAGAGAGAGTGTGTGAGGATTAGGAGAGATACAATCATTTTCTTTCTGTATAAGTATTTGGGAGGAGGTTCTTTCTTTTTAAAGGGAATTTTGAAAAACTGCACTTTCCCAAAATTTATGAGATTAACATGGAGTTCTTCAGAGTTATCAGGTATAAACAAAATCACGTGAAACTCAATTTGGAATAGTAAGTGTTGATTTTCTTTTATTATTTGTCAGGACCCTGCAAATTTCCTGCAACAGTCCATGAGTTTGGTAGACAATCCTAATGGTGAAAGAGAAGGAAAGGGCCCTGCTTTTCCTCATCTGTAGCCAGGATGGCTTAGGGAATCAGCATTTCTGACCATGAAGTTGTTTCCCCCTATGTTACTGACCTTAAGTTTGGAAAAATCAGCTTCTTATTCCATAGCTCGTTCTCATACTGCTCACTTATTGTCATCTCCTGAGAAGAAAGAAGAGAGATAGATTCTCAAGACAATCTCTGATACTGAGGGTAAGCCATTAGAGTAAAATATTAGTCTGCTCTATCAGTCCTGCCTGAGGTGGAAATGTCCCTCAAAGTAACTCAAAGGCTTACTTGTGATTTTTTTTCAGGGCCTCGCCTAAACCTCTAAGTATCTGAAGCTCTATGACAGTAAGGAAAAAAATTGTGGTTAGTTCTCTTTTGAGAATCACAAAAATTCCAGGGTCCCCACTCTTCAAAGCCAAGAAGTTAGGAAGAGTTTAATTCAATCAAGAACCCAGAGATACATTAAGCACTTTTTCTGCAGAAAGTAGTGTTGCAGGCACTAAAAGGGTACAATATGGCCCAGTCCTTCGAGAACTGCAGTACAACAGGACACATGAGGATGTAACTGACAAAGTAGCAGCCTGGCATGCTCAATGAGGAGCATCCAGGAGTTGAGAGAGAGCCCTGAGGCATGCTTTGTCATAGCTTTGAGTTGGGTAGATTTTAGAGAGGAAAGGAGAAGACCTTCTAGGGAAGAGGAATGCGATAAGCCAAAGTAAGTAACACTTTGTACCTCTCATATGCATTGATCACATTCTTGTCTGAATTATCCATGAGTTGTTCATGTACTAGACTGTAAACTCTCTAAGGTCTGGAAGTGCTTAATTTATCTTTTTGTCTCCTGCAGTCCTTCACAAAGGATGATAGATCATGGATTTAGAGATGGAAGAAAACTCTGAGGTCATCAAGTCTAAGTCCCTCATTTTACAATGGAGAGGGTAAGTGATCTGCTTGAGGTCACATAGAGAGGGATTCACATGACCATAGTTTGAGCTTAGGTGCCCTACTCCAAAGCTGGCACTTTATCCATTGGGCCCAAAATCTAAGGTGCATGTTCCACTATTCCTGTAAGGTCTGCACATCATGGGTGATAAATTGATTTTTGTGGTTGAACTGAATTGCCGGTGAATAGACTAGTTTACCTGGAGCAGAGTTTGTGTTGGAGAATAGTAGGGCTGGAATGACTGTGTAGGGCTTTGAATTCTAGATTGAACTTTATCACGTCTGCAAGTGGGGGGAGGGAATGAAGATAGAAGAGGGAATGACGATTGAGCTGATAAAAGCAGTGCAGGATTAGTTTGTTGGCAGCATACAAGAACAGGGAAAAGTCAGGAAAATTAATTAGGATACAGCTATAATCCAGAGGTAAAGTATTGAAACCCTGGACTAAGGCATAGAAGTGAGAATGAAGCAGAAAAGGTAGATTTTAGAGACTTTTGAAAGGTTATATTGAAAGGAATGCAGTAACTAGATGTAGGGGAAAAAGAGGAAAGGGAGAATCGGGGTTAATTATGGTAACCTTAAAGATAATGATAATACAGGTACCACATATCAAAACCTATAGAATTCAGACAAAGCAATTGTCCAAATGAAATGTATAATGCTAGAGGCTTATGTTACAGGAGAGAAAAAGAAACCATGAGTTCAATCTATATTAAAATTATAAAAGAGTAACTTTAAATTACCAAAATTAGAAATGAGAAAGGAAAACTACAATGAATTAAAATGAAATGATCAGAGATGACTCTACATGCCTTGATACAAATATACTTTAGAAACTGAAACAAGTGATCGAATATCTACAAAAATGTGAAATACCCAAACTGACAAAGCAGGAAACTTATAACCTAAAGAGATTAATTGCAAAGGACTTGTTATTGTTCATTCATTTTGGTCATGTCTGACTCTTTGTGACCCCATTTGGGGTTTTCTTGGCAAAGATACTGGAGTGGTTTGTAATTTCCTTCTCCAGCTCATTTTACAGATGAGGAAACTGAGGCAAACAGGTTAAGTGGCTTGACCAGGGTCACATAGCTAATAAGTGTCTGAGGCCAGATTTGAACTCAGGAAGATGAGTCTTCTGACATCAGACATGACACTATCCATTACGCCACATAGCAAAGATAAAACCAGGTAATTAATGACACGCTCCTTAAAAAAAGCACCAGAATGAGGCAGAATTAAAGTAAAATTTTCCAAGTCTTCAAAGAAAAAAAAACCCAAATATTGCATAAGACAAGTTTGAAAATATGCTACCATAAAAAGGGATGTGGCAGGGCATACGTGTAGCATCAAGGCAGCTAGTGAAAACATGGTGGGAGAGTCAAGCATGACTAGGGCTCATCTGAAATAACAGGCCTTAGGAAGCTCCCTGATCAGAGCAGTGGGGCCCCAGATTGGGAGTGCCATAGGCAACAGTCAAGTATACTTCTCTGTACCAGGTGGCAAAACCATAGTCCAGTATGCTCTGGGTAGCGCCAGCTGCTTTCAACTGTGGGATCGGTAACAGTCTAATGCAGCATTCTGCTGCTGTCTCAAAAGTAGGTACCTTAAGAAGACTCAAACCTCACTGCCTTGTTCTTTGCCTTGTATCACTCCCCACAGTCCCTCATCAACAATCTGCTTGTGATTGTGCTCATCCACATAAAGCTCAGACTGAGAAGCATGGTTCAATGAAACAAAGCTGTCTGTGCTTTTAGCATACCATCTGATAGGTGTCCCAATCTCTCAGTGATCCTGCTATTTGCTTGCTCTTTGGGTGTTACATAAGGTCATTCCTCCCTTAGGTTAAATTACAATAGTTTAGGTATCTCATGGCCTTTAGGATAGGGCATCTGCATCCATATCAGCCTTCCCTGGCCAGTAATATATGTTGAATTTACTGCTGAACAGTGCTTCTGGCAAGCCATAGCTAACTTGGCACTGGTCAGATTACGTTAGCTCCATCCACGTAATGTTTGAAATTCTCAGTGACAGCCTGCTTCAAAACCAAGAACTCTAGCTTGTATATGAGACAATGAATCTCACTGTCATTCTGACCTCTGCTGGCAAATGCAATTGGTTTCTGGTAACCATTATTCTCTTGGTACAGAACTTCTCCTAGATTCTCTACATTGGTATCTTTATACATGACAAAAGAATTTTTTTGGGTCTGCTCAGGGTAATACTAGTACATGTGTGAGGTAGTTGATAGCTTTTTACCATTTGTCTGTCCATCAGTTTCCAAAGAATTGTATGAGTTTCAAGAAAAATCATCATTTTTTTCTTTTTGTTTACTTTTTTTTTTAATCATATAGGCATGAGTGGGGTCATTCAGTCATTTAGCATCATTCTTTTTTTTTTTTTTGGCTAGGTGATAGGATTAAGCGACTTGCCCAGGGTCACACAGCTAGTACGTGTTATGTGTCTGAGGCCAGATTTGAACTCAGGACCTCCTGACTCCAGGGCTGGTGCTCTATCCACTGCACCACCTAGCCGCCCCCATTTACCATCATTCTTAACAAACTTGCAATAATAACCTTCAAATCCTAGAAATATCCTTAGGCTTGAATCCTAGAACTTTGGATCATGATGGATTCTGCAGGGCTGCCCCTTCCAAACAGTGTTCGCAGGTCTGACATCTCCATTATACCTAGTATGCTCAAAGCCTGGATGGATAACCCCCACATAATCAACTAAATCCTACCTATCTTTTCCTCTGAACACTTTGAAATCAATTTCCCCCAAATCTAAGGTATGTGTTCAACTAAGCCCAGATTTCCTTCCCTCTACCACAAACTTTTGGATGAATTAGTCACTTTCCTCCCAAAGTTCCCATTATTCTACCCTACCTGCCCACTCCAATTAGTAGGCATCACTAAAGGAATTCTTAGCAGCCTTGCTTTGGGCATAGAGAGAGAACTCTAGCATCTACTACTCCTCATCACTACCACATTATGCCTCTACTAGGCTGTGATCTGTTTTCCAGATCCTTATCTATTTTTCTTTTTCTGTCCAGGTGGTCTACAGTATACTCCAATGATAAAATCATTTCTTTTTTCCTCTCTCCTTTGACCTTTAACCACATGCTCTCCCTCATGCTTCTCTATTCTGGTTCCTGGATTTCCTCACAAGAATATACTTTCTTAATATACAATGTTATATTTACCCCCTTTTATGTATCCTATTTATTCTGAATAAGTATCCTCATCAAGAGCCATAATCCAGTCATGGGTTTTATCCCACAAGTCTCAGTGATATCTCTGAGGTCAAATTTGTCTGATAGCCCAGTCACAGCTCTGTTGCACATTTGCACTAGACCTCTACTGAATCTTCTCTAGGAGGGCAAGGGTATGTTCCTGAGGAAGTTCCTATTTACTGCTGTCTGCAATGAGGTCTCAGACATGTTCCTAAACATCCTCAAGCCCCCATGCCTTATGCACAAGTAAGTTATCTCTGCCACAGATCACCTAGCTTTGGCCCTTCTCATAAGAGGGGCTCCTCTTTATGGCTTAGGGCAGGGGTGGGGAGCTTTCGGCCTTGAGATCACATGTGGCCTTCTAGGTCCTTGGGTGAGGCCTTTTGACTGAGTTCAAATTTTACAGAACAAATCCTTTTATTAAGGGGATTCTATGAAGTTTGGATTCAGTTGAAGGGCCATACTTGAGGACCCAGAGGGCCACATATGGCCTCCAGGCTGCAGGTTCCCCATTCCTGGCTTACGGGAACTCTCTATGAATAGACAGAGCCTTAATTTCTGCCATGGAGAATATGGAACCAGCTTGACCTACAGGTGAGATGTCCATTTCTGAGGGTGAAAATCTCACCTCAATTTCTTCTATAGACAGGGCCTATAGGAAAGATTTGTATCTGTGCCTCAACTGCTATGTTGTCTCCCCTCTTTACTCATTAATGTTGAATTTAAAAAATAAGACAGAACTTTTCCACTTTAGACAGAATACTGAAAGCCAGTTTCTAAGTAAGTTGTTGGAGGGTGTCCCTCATGTGGATTTTGTCACAAATTTGAGTGGTTAGTTGAATGGGTCTAGCAATTCACAAAACATATCCTTAGTGGATTCTCATGGCCATTTTGCACTAGAAACTAGAATTAGAATCCTTGACTCTTTTACTGTATCCTTCAATATTTTTGTAATGTCCTCAGCTTTATAAAGAGT